AGACCCAGGACTCACTGCAGCTCCAACAGGCCTCCACAGAGGATGAACGGCCCAACCGCTGAGAATCAAATGAACTTAGCACAAGGAAAAATGTGCAGAGAGACCCTACTGCCCACTGTGTATAATGTCGTCAGAGACAGAGCAAACTAGAAATCATCTTGGATTTCGGAAGAGAAAAACAACAGGACTAAGTGCAACTCTAAGGAAGCGTCCAAGCAATGGGGGAGGGGGCGACGCAGTCACATTCGCAATGATCTGGCTGGGTGAACTGGCATTCACGGATCAGAAAGTCACCGCTTCCAAATAGCCTCCTCAGGAGGTATAAGGATTGCCTAGAAATATGGTAGATCCAGGAGCACTCACTCAGTACTTTGAAGGGACCAGATGGTGCTGACTGGGCTAGCTGGGGACAGCCAGGAACCTATTCTTAGAGTGAGTGTACAAGCCGGAGCACAGTGCAGGGGCAGGGGTGGCAGGAGGTCACGACAGACCCAGGTGGATTTCTCAGCTTTTCCTCCCCATTTTAGTCTCAGACTCCTGCTAAGGGTTTTTAAGAAACGGTTGGTAGGTTTTAAAGAAAAAACAAACAATGGGGCTTCAGAGATGGCTTTGTGATTAAGAGCACGGTGGTTATTCTTCCAGGAGACCCAGGTTCAATTCCCAGCACCCCCATGGCAGCTCACAATTGTCTGTAACTCCAGTTCCAAGGGAATCACCTTCACGAAAACATATATTCAGGTGAAATACCGATGGAAATAAAATAAAAATAAATTATTTTAAAAAAAAGAGGTTCAGAAAGAAGCAGATAGCAATGAATGGGCAAAGAGATCACCCCTGCTCTTACAGGCAGAGCAAGGCAGTAAGTGGAATATTCCCCAGGATATAGGTCCAGTTGTCTGAGCAAAGCATGAAAGGGATGAAAGCCTTTGCAACCGACACCAGGGTCTAAGGGATGGACCAGCAAACAGCAGCCGGTTTAAACTCAAGCTCTGTGTGATCATCTTAGAAGAACTCGACCCCTCTGCACCTCTGTGCTCCATCTCTAAGATGGCATCTGCTCTATCTTGAAAACAGATGGACGGGACATGTCCTTCAGGTTGTCGGATTACAGGAACTGACACACTTAGGCAATGGAGCTAACTTCAGAGCAGGTACACACTACACACTTACAAATATGGAGTTAACCGTGCTCCCTTGGCCACTGCCTGTATCCTCGGGGCTACTGCAAACCGTACTCCGTGGTTCTTTCTGGAGCGAGGCTGCGGGAGTTATTCCAGCTGAAGTTCACTGGGTTTTTCTAATACAGCATGTTCCTCCGAACAAATAATAAAATCATGTCTGTTTCTTTTCCAGGTACCAAATTAATTTTCCATGTAGGCATCATGCAGAAAGGGTGCACTACGGCTATCCGTGTATAACACGTTATAAAAACGAAGCGCACACAGCCAGCCAACAGCAGAAGGAGGCTGGAACTACAGACAATATGACAGCTTCTCTGTGATTTTCCCAATCAAGAATTAAAATAGGTGATCTTGTCACAGAATAAAGCACTTGAACTCCAGGGGCTTCAGCAATCACTCACAGAGGCTGCTTGTGCTGCTTGCGGACGAGAAGACTCTAAGCTCAGCACAGATGCGGAATCTGTGATTTGTCAAAAAGCAAGCCCTCCTCCCTGGATCTCATACTCCTAGTTTTAATGGACTTGAGGAGGAGAGGCCGTGTCTTCGGTCACTAAAGTCTACTACCTGCTCTTCTTTGTTCCTTTATCCTACAAACTGTCAGTTTCCTCACCTGTGAAATGGGAACAGGCCCCTGCTCAAAAGCCCCATGGAGCTCCTGCCCTGAGAAGGTGTGGTCAGCAAATGAGAGCTACTCTCTTGACCAGACCAAGACACCAAACCCTTGTCTGGGGGTGACTACATGTGCCTTGCTGCCTCTTCCCTCTCCCGCACACCTTCCCTTGCATGCACGTTCCACAGAAACACCACCAGTCTCCATCCAACCTCACCAGGGAATGCAGGCAACAAAGATCCAGCAGAGACTGAGACTGTATGCAAATACCAAATATTATTAAAACATTAATGAACTCTGGCCATTTCTCTGAATTTTGATAAACAGTGTTTATTATGTACTGCCAACCCCCTCACACAGTCTGGGCTCTCAAATATGAACTAGATAATAACAGCAATCATTCTCCGAAAAGAAGATGGTGTAGAGAAATGGAAGTCACTCTTGATGATGCCAGCTAACACCTGCCTCCAAAGGAAGCAGAATGTTTCCACAAAGGACAGATTCCAGACTCTCCCGTGACCCCGCAGTGGGTGGCTGAGCCTGTGCGGATTCCTGCCTTGAGGGACACTGGGCGTCCTACTGCTGAAGGGTCACTGATAGCAGCCGTCTGTCTACCTCCTTCACTGGACTGCAGGAAATCCCCTCCAAGTTAGATGGAAAGATGGGAAGCTCCTGAGACCTCAGTCCAAGCTAACAAGCTTGTAACAGATAGGGGCTTGCCTGGCCATCATCCCGGGGCCCACAACTGCCTGCTACAGAGGACGCATTACCCACATTCCCACTAAAGAGGTTTAGACAAATACCTTTCCGTTTCATCCTGAGAGGATAACATTTTTTAAGCTGCAGGAAAATCCTGAGCAGGTGCAGCTCAGATAGATAGAGGCAGAACAGAGCCCAGAACTAACCCCCCACAACAACTCCCTGAAATGAACGCCTGATGCTACCCACCCAGTGACACCTTAACAAGCTGGGGGCATTGAGACACCTCATACGCATATTCATAAAGGACTCAGCAAGTGAAATAAGGTGTACAAAAGGAGATTTCTGTTTCTTAAGTCCAGAAGGAAAAAAAAGAAAACCTGCTTTAGAAACAGCAAATCCACATGGGGACCCTGGCTGTCGCCAAACCTTCACTTGTCTAGAACAGCCTCATTAAAGGAAACCAGGGGATTGGAAAATGAATGCAGCACCACACACAGGCGAGCTCATTCTGCCATCTGTCTGGTAGTATCCAGAGGGGCACAGGGCTTAAATGACACTCCTGAATTCTCTCTCCTGCAGGTGGAAATGCCAAAGTCCCGGGGGGGGGGGGGGGGGGACACGCATCCCTTCCAAGGTCAACAGGCTGAAAAGGAAGAGAAGGCAACCTTGTTTCCCTGTCAGCGCGACGCCACTGGTGACATTAAACACGTGCATAAATTAAGCACCCTGGAATAACTTACCCTTTGTACAAGGCTTTAGACCTTATTAAGTCACTGTGTCGGATGAAGGAACTGCGCAGAAGTTCCTACTGAGCCAGGCGTTTAATCTTACCCTCCCCATCACCTCCCTCTTCCTGATCCATGACTATCCACCCTCACCTCTTTCCAGTGACGGTCCTAGGGAAGGGGTGGGGATGGGGGCTATAATGACAGGCGGTGGTTAGTAATGACAAAGAGAAAGGCCATGATCAAGCAACTTAAATAACTGCCCTGAGCTTTCGGTGTCCCATCCTGTGTGTCGTCCCCTCCCCACCCCACCCGGCGCCCAAGTCTTCCTGACAATCACTGGTTTGGTTTTTGGATGCCCCGGCTTTGTAAAGGGTTTAACCTCCTTTGTGAACGCTGACTCCCACCACATGTGAATTGAAATAAAAATTCACTTAAATAGTTGAACAGTCAAAAGAGCTCAATAAAGATCTTTTCAACCACATTCACCTTCTAGAATACCTAGAATACACTTGCGGGGTGAGCAGCAACAGGAAAACATAGTCCTGTGTTTAGCGTGGCCCGTCCAACTTCCTAATTCTTCATAGTACCGGTGGGTCACATTCATTCTGTATCTCTTAGACTTGGACAAGGGAGGAAGAGAATCTGGGAGGGAATAAGGGACCTCGGGAGAGACACAGCAACAGTGGGCGGGCTGGTATCTCATTAGATCGCAAGGGAATGCAAAGACTTCTGTCCTATGGCCAAAAGGCCTTTGCCAATCACATTTACCACTATCTGAAAAATTGACCGTGGAAACGTTCGTAGAGCACGGCTCCTCCAGTCCAGTTCTGCTGAATGTAAACCACGGGGCCACCACTGCTGCATGACAGCGCTACACTCGAGGTTCCCAGCAGCGGATGCTCATTCTACAACTCAAAAGCAATAATCCCACCGCAGGACGCCAGGGATGGGGTTGGTGCCCCGGGAACCCATAATTTTCCTTTACCTTTCAGGGCCGGTAGGTGAGGGACTGAGGGATGCAGTGGGGGGAAATTTTCTTACACAAGGCTGCTCAGAGTGGGAAAGTCTGTGCACCTCCTGGCCAGCATTAGGACAATACACAAAGACCAGGGGGGGCACAACGCTCCTCTGCGGCCAGAGCTCTGAGCCCGGACACTTTCGAGCAAGGAATTTGGAATTCCAAGCTCAGCAACAACCCGGAGAAGCACCGGAAATACTTCGGACCCCTTCAAAGGGAAGTCGATTTGCAAATCAAAGTTGCGGCAACTCCGGGCACCCGGACTACTTCCGCGGGTTACTCTGGAACACCCAACAAGTTTGGCCACCCAGGGCTCCGCGTGGTAGCGCCGCGCCGCAACCACGACAGAAGCAACTTGTCGCTCAGGCGCGGGTCGGCCTCCTCACGCTGCTAGGGCCGCCCAGGCTTGCAGGGGACCCGGTGTCAGCCGGCCCACGCCGTTTCAGGGGCTCCCCCCAGCCGGGAAGTGTCTCCCGTCGCCGCCTCACCTGCCTGGCGGCCCCGCGGTCGAGGAATCAACAAAAGAGAGGACAATCGAGAAGGAGAGGGGCACCCCGCGCCGAGCGCTGGCAGGAACGGAGGGGGGCGGCTGGGCTGGCGGTGGAAAGGAGAGAGAACCTCGCGGAGCCAGGGGTGACACCCCGGGCAAGCGCCGGAGCGGGGACCAGGGCTCCCACCCGCTCCATCACACCCGCGCGCACACACGCACAGTCACACACCTCTCTTCCCCACCCCCCCGCCCGCCTCATCCCTCTCCGTACCCAGCATGGAAAAGATGAAATCCTTGGCAGTGTGAATCTCCAGCGCTCTCTGGTCGTCGTATTCCCGCTGGTCGTGCCTGGTGAATTCCTGGATGAGTTTGTTCAGTTCCTCCACCCGAGCTCCAGACCTGAAATCCAGCTCCGGGAAGGCAGGCTTGTTGTTGCAGCCCAAGGAGGCTGCCTTGCTGGCGGTGGGAGCCGCCATCTTCATGCAAAACGCGCCGAGCGGCGGCTCGGCGGCGGCCGCGGCACCCACCCCCGCCCCCCACCCCGCCCCGGCCTCCCGGCGCGGCTGGGCAGCCCGGCCCGTGGGCGGGAGGGTTGGCTTCTGGGCGGGCCCCGCGTCGCGCTGCGCTCCGGGCGGCCGCGCTCCTTCGCGGGAGGAGCCCCGACTGCGGCGAGGTGCGCGTGTGGCCCCGGCACCCGGTCTCCGGTCCCCGCCCGCTGCGCCGCTGCGGGGCCCCTACCCTCCCCGAGCCGTGCTGGTGGCGGCGGCGGCGGCGGCTGCGTCCAAAGAGCCGAGCCGAGCCGAGCCTCCCCCAGGGCAAGGAAAGTGAAGTGGAAACAATGTGAAATTCACCAGCGCCGAAATCAACAAGCTGCCGGCTCCCGTGTTACGGAGCCAGCACCAGCATTCCCATTTAAAGGGACAGCGCACCCGGTGGGAAGAAAAAAAATAATAAATAAATGGCAGAGGTTCCCGCGCCCGGATCACTTGCCAGTCTGTACTCCAGCCGACGCGCGTGGTGTGGACGCTTTTCTTTCTCCACCACCACCCCCTTTAGGGGCAGGGCTTGCCCAGCGCAGCCAAGGAGAAAGGAGTCTTCCTACTCTGATCTTAGGGCGGTGTCCCGGGCGAGAACGTTTCTGTGGGCGCGTTTCTAATCTCCAGCCCACGAACTTTAATACCTTTAGATGGTGGGGAAATGTAAAATGTATCTTCTGTCCTTTTTCGCCCAGATTGCGGAGAATGATAAAATTAGCGAATCAGAAAAGAGTGTCCATCCCGCCGCGGATAGACACTTCCAATTAACCACTCAAGTATCTCTTTACCTTTGCCCTAGGTAATTAGTTTTCCTGGATGACAACTCATTCAACTTAACATATAGTGCCTTAATGAGAGCCAACCTGCTCGAGCATATAGAAGGGGCTCCAAATGCGGGGGTGGGGGGGGAGGAGAGGGAAAACAATGAAATGCCCCAGGGTATAAAGAAGATGGGAAAGGGAGAAACTCTCCCTTTTGGCTAAAAGAATTTGAGCACTCTCTGTTAGCCAGACCGGAATGACAGGAAGTGGGTGGACAGGGATCAGCCAGAGGACTTGCGCCCCCACCCCACGCCCCTGGTACTTAGGGCTGTCACGACAAGACTGGTGCAGTCAGATCTTAGTCCTCTAGACAGGATGGCAGATGTGGTTTTAGTGTCCCTGTGATTCGCACACTCAGGAGGCTGCTGACTCCTAGAAACAAAGGTGAATTGTTCTCTTGTCTCCATCCGGGCCTGTGTTCCCCACCTGAGTTCTCATCCCTGAAAACTCCACAATCTTGTAAAACCTGGAAAGGACGTCTGGGCTCTGCCCTACTTTCCCATGTGAAATAGGATAATAATAATGACATCGTCATAGGCTGCTTTAAGAATTACGGAAATAAGACTGGATGACCAAGACTTAGTATAAGTAGCGATTAGCTGCGTCAGCTTCTGCTGTTGATAAAACTTTCGAGTGTGTGTGTGTGTCGTCTGTCTGTCTGTCTGTCTGTCTGTCTGTCATGTTTCCCTGCATGCAAGGGCACTGCATTCTTGCCTGGTACCTGTAGAGGTCACAAGAGGGCATCAGATCCCCTGGAACTGCAGTTCCAGATAGCTGTGCGATGCCACGTGGATGCTGGGAGCTGAACCCTGATCCTCTATAAGAGCAAGTGCTCTTAATTGCTGAGCCATCTATTTCTCCAGCCCCTTCCACAGGATCTTTACAAAAGTCATTGCTCCGCACTTGTTTCTGCCTTTTCTTGTGATATTAGCATCATGGAGATTTGCAGCGGAAATTACTCTGATTCTAAGTTAGCTCTGGACTTGGTAGTTTTGAATGGCAGGGTCAGTGATCTTTCTTGTCAGCCAGATCAGAATCCTATGAATCATTGACCTCCAATGAACCTATTTATATTGACAGTATTACTGAAATGTAAATATCTTACAGGTCTGTGTTAAGATGGCATATCTATCTCTCTGAATTGTGAGAAAGAGAGAAGATAAAGACATACTCCTCGCAGACTATTGGAAGATGTTTTGCCCTCTGTCCTACTACACTGCAGTTCTCCATCACTTTTCCAGACAACTGGATTTAATAGTTCCTGCCACTTCTTAGGTCCTATTATTTTTCCTTGATTTTTTTTTAAAGACCAAGTCTCACGATGCTGCTCTGGCTGACCCTGAACTCACTATGTAGTGAGGTTGACACAGAACTTCCTGTGAAGGCTAAACTAGCCTGGAACTCAGAACCCTCCTGCCTCTGCCTCCTGAATGCTGAGATTACAGGCATGTATCACTATGCCTAACCATGTTGTGGTTTTAATTAATGAATGTGAATGAACAGACATCATCCCTCAAAGCCCCAGAGATCATTGTTCAGGTGAGAGCAACCACACAGGACAATGTCAGCCACCTATGGCTTTCCATCATCACTTAAGAGCTGTTATCAATGAAATGGGCAGTGGTGGTGCAGGCCATTAATCCCAGCATAGGAGGCAGAGGAAGGCAATCTCTGTAAGTTCAAGGCCAGCCTGGGCTACAAAGCAAGTTCCAGGACAGCCAGGACTGTCACAAAGAAACCCTATCTAGAAAATCCAAAAAGAAAAATAATAATAAGAAGAAAGTTGCTATAAATGAAGAGATTTCTCCTTGAGTCAATTAAATTAAATGCTTTCCCTTTTCACCTCTGCTTGCTATCAGATGTCCGAGAAGAAACAGGGCTAGAGGTGATGAAGAGCAAGAACAGCTCCTACCAGAGTCGTTGCTGTTCGAGCCTAGCGATAGGTCTGTGGACGTGACGGAAGAATCCATCATCTAAGTAAACACTCAAGCAGGCTTTCTTGACGTGTCCCTCCAGCTGCAAAGCAACCAGAAGAGCTCCATGTTTCCCACGGGGGAAGGGACCTTGTCCTTCTTCCTGGTTTCATGTGTACGTTGAGAAAGAGGTCTCTGTGTTTGCCCCTCTAGAGCTGTTTGTTTTTAAACACAACTCTGAAGGTTCATGGCAAACCCTCAGCCGTGAATAGCTAGACTGTGCGGAGTGTGTATTAAAAATAGCAGGCTCCACATCCACATGATAAAGGAACAGAATATAATTTTAGCCAAAGTTTGTCTGGCCTGACAGGGATTTAAATAGCAGTCTAGGCTACAAGATGTGGCCTTCTTGGCCAGGCGGATGTTCAGTAAAAGTCCAACAAGCAGAAATGACCTAGGTTTCTTATGATTTCCAGAGATACACAGAAAAACAAAAGGCAAACATCGCAAGCATGTTGATGGCAGAAGGGACTTGGGAGGTCAAGCCCATCTACCATCTTTATAGTGCAGATAGGAAAATCAGAGCATGGAAGAGGAAAAGAACCTCGCATGAGGTGTGGAAATAGCACTGTTCCTATCTTCATACTAGCTTCGAATTTAGTAAGTAATTACTGTATTTCCATATTGCCGGAGGGCAGAGATGTCCCCATAAAAATTGCAATACCATGATTAAGGGGGATGCGGAAGGAAGGGAGGGAAGAAGGAAGGAACGAAAGAAGGAAGGAAAAGAAAAAAGAAAGGAGAAGAAATAGCCTTTGGGCAAAATGCACTTACTTCACTTGAGACTGAAATATTAATAAACCAGGAATTACTGACATTTGGAATCATCTGTTTTATGTTTTCATGTCATAGATGCATAATTAGGACTTGAGCTAAATCCACCCATGAGGACTGTATTGGAAAATGTGCCCCCATATACTCAGGTATTTGGACACTTGGTTCCCAAGTGACGGCACTGTGTGGAGAAGCTTGGGTGGTGCAGCCTTGCTGGAAGACATGCTTCACTAGGGACCATCTTTGAGAGTATATAACTTTGCCATACTTTTAATTCTCTCTTTCTGCTTCATGTCTTCAATTAAAGATTGGAACTCTCAGCTTCCTGCACTTGGTCTGTGCCTGTTGGCTACTACCCTTCCATCTCTGCAATTATGGATTTTATCCCTTGGAACCATAAGTGAAATCTTTCTTCTTCTTCTTCTTCTTCTTCTTCTTCTTCTTCTTCTTCTTCTTCTTCTTCTTCTTCTTCTTCTTCTTCTTCTTCTTCTTCTTCTTTTTACCTTTTTTGTTTGTTTGTTTTCGAGACAGGGTTTCTCTATGGCTTTGGAGCCTGTCCTGGAACTAGCTCTTGTAGACCAGGCTGGCCTTGAACTCACAGAGATCCGCCTGCCTCTGCCTCCCGAGTGCCGAGATTAAAGGTGTGCACCACCACCATCCGTCTCGCAAAATCTTTCTTCTATAAATTGCCTCAGTCATGTATTTTGTAGCAATAACCAAAAAGGAACTACGACATAATCCCCTCATCTCTTTCTCATATGTGATAAGCAGTTGAACTTGGTTTCTTACCCAAAGGTAGGAATAGTCTGTCCCAAGACAGGTTTGTGATTTTCCTGCCTCACCCCCAGAGTACTTGGGATTACAAGACAGTGCCACCAGCCACAGTGAAATCTCTTGAATTTCCAAACTCCTTTGATGACGATCGTGAAGAAACCAAGTCACAGGAAATGCTGGTGAGTGGTGTGGGGAAGAGGAACCCTTATTCATTGTGGGAAAGTAAGCTGGAGTAGCCACTGTGGAAGTCACGCGGAGGTTTCCTAAAAGCCTAAAGATAGAACTACAGTATGATGCAGCAATAGCACTCTGGGGTACAAATACAAAGAATGCTTTATGCTAGCACAGAGATACCTCTGAACCCATATTTATTGCTATTCTAGTCACAGTAGGTAGGAAATAGACTCGGCATAGATGTCTGCCCATCAGCTAATGAGCGGATAATAGAAAAGTGGTCCACACAGACAATGGAATCACATTCTGCCATAAAAAAAAAAAAATGAAGGCACTGTAAAATGGCCCAGAAGTTAAGAATGTACTGTGTGTGGACTGGAGAGATGACCCAGTGGTTAAGAGCACTGACAGGTCTTCCAGAGGACCTGGGTTCAGTTCCCAGCTCCCACATAGCAGTTCACAACTGTCTGTGACTCTAGTTCGAGGGTTTCTGACACCCTCACACAGACATAAATCCAGGCAAAACACCAATGCACATAAAATAAAAATAAATAATATATATTTTTTTTAAAAGTGCATACTACTCTTGCAGAAGACCTGATTTCAGTCCCAACACCCACATCAGGTGACTCACAGCCTCTTGTAACTCCAGTTCCTGGTGATCCTGTGCCCTCTTCTGGCCTCCAGAGACAGTACACACACACACACACACACACACACACAAATACACAAATTCTTAAAAACAAAAAAGTTAAATCCTTTTTTAAAGGAAAAGAAATGAAATAAAATTTTCAGAAAATGGATGGAATTGGAAAATACTGAGTGGATAATGGAGGTTCAGATAATTATCTCTCTCATGTGTGGATTCTAGCTTCTAATTTTCATGGGTGCTTACATACAGGTGATTGTGTATAGAAGCCAG